TTTAACCTCGGCTAAATTAATGTGCATGACATCGTATACATTTGTAATTTTTGTACACTTATTAATTAGGAAAATAAGCTAAACTGAAAGTGGCTAATCTCGGCTAAAATAAACAAATGTATATGGTGTCATGAAGAAACGCAAGTATCTCCCGTCTGACAAAACAACAATCAATTAAAGTACTGTTTAACTTGGCTTGTTCTTATATTATATCTAACATAAAAATAACGCTATAATATAAATAATACAGCTTTCTGCGCTGCAGGTCTCAGCTATCAGTATTGTCAATCAGTTTCAATCCCAGTTTCGCCAGCTTAGTCGGTTTTAGTCCTAAGTTCATAATATAAGTCGACCTCTGACCCCAACTCCTACTTCATATAAGTCAACCTCTGACCCCAACTGCTACTTGTGGTGAATTAGATGATTATATGATGTGATGTTTATTTGCGTAACCCTTCTTTCAAAGTTCATAATAGAAGTCGACCTCTTAGTTACAAGTTCTTAACGAAGTTGACCCCTGACCTCAAGTAATACTTGTGGTTAGCTAGTGCTTGTGTGACTTGTTTACCCTCCTCCTCACTGCATACACAATTCTTTATATGGCTAGTGTATTTCCTTATCCAGTTCAACGTGATCTACAATTATTTTAAAATATACTTCAGTGCACTTAATATACACCAAACACTGTATTTTACTATATACCAAACACTGTATTTTACTATATACCAAACACAGTATTTTACAATATACCAAACACTGTATTTTACTATATACCAAAAACTGTATTTTACTGTATACCAAACACTGTATTTTACTGTATACCAAACACTGTATTTTACTATACACCAAACACAGTATTTTACTGTATACCAAACACTGTATTTTACTATATACCAAACACTGTATTTTACTATATACCAAACACTGTATTTTACTATATACCAAACACTGTATTTTACTATATACCAAACACTGTATTTTACTATACACCAAACACTGTATTTTACTACACACCAAACACTGTATTTTACTATTATACCAAACACAGTATTTTACTATATACCAAACACTGTATTTTACTACATACCAAACACTGTATTTTACTATACACCAAACACTGTATTTTACTATATACCAAACACTGTATTTTACTATATACCAAACACTGTATTTTACTACACACCAAACACAGTATTTTACTATACACCAAACACTGTATTTTACTACACACAAACACTGTATTTTACTATATACCAAACACAGTATTTTACTATATACCAAACACAGTATTTTACTATATACCAAACACTGTATTTTACTGTACACCAAACACAGTATTTTACTGTATACCAAACACAGTATTTTCTTGTTCATTATCTATTTTTCAATCCGCAGGTCGCGGGTTTGAATCCCCGTCCCACCAAACATGCTCACCCTTTCAGCCGTGGGGGCGTTATAATGTGACAGTCAATCCAATTCGTTAGTAAAAGAGTAGCCCAAGAATTAACTAGCTGCCTTCCCTTTACTCTTACACTGCTAAGTTAGGGACGGCTAGTGCAGATAGCCGTCGTGTAACTTTGCGCGAAATTCAAAAACAAACAAACATTTTGATAAAGTTAATTCTACAGGAGAATCCTCAAGGTATACTGAACTGACCTCTGAATAGCGACAGATATCCCCACGATGATACCAAAAGTTATTTATTTTTTTTTTAATCGCCCCCCCCCCCAGAAGCCCCGCGGTATTTCTGCGGCCTTACAAAGCAAGAATCCGGGTTTCGATAGCCCATTGTGTAGCTTTTTGCTTAATTACAAACAAAAAAATATTTTATAATTGTTTTTTAACATCATATTCTCTCTCTCTCTTTTTCTTTACTTACAGAATGCAATATTTAATTTCAGAATTCCTCATTCATTTGTATCACTTCCATCTGCGCTATCTTCCTTTACTATATGCAAGATTAATCTGTTTATGTCCTGTTAAGTCTTACTCTTTCAGAAACTGGCGCACATTAATCGCTCTTTTTGCGGTGTTTATGAGTCAATCAATGCAAGACACAATAGTCGTTCACTCGTGTTAGTATTTCTTAGATGTGTCTTCAATCGACCGAGACAGATAAATAAAAATTCTGTTGATTCAGCTGAAACAGGCATTGTTAACAACAGATGGAAAATTGCATACAAGATTGGATAAAGTATATGGGTCGTCCATAGCTGTACACAAAATGTTTGTATTTTTTTAAAAATAAAACATACCCACGAAACATACGCATGCATATTGGGAGCAAAGGATGCGGCGCCGTTCTTCTGTTGAATTCTAAAATTCATATTTGTAGTTTTGCTTAGCGGCAACTAGAAAAGCTGTTTCCCTTAGATTTGCATCAACTTTAAAGATTTTCTTTGGAAAATGTAGCATTTCGAGCATAATGTTACAGTTTTAACTGATCATCTTCGTTATCTTGCCGGCTTGGGGTTTTTTACCCCACAGGATTAAGTAACAAGCAGATTTCTTAATCAACAGATAGATAGATATTTGTGAACTTTCTGGATTACATAGATTTCTGGATTTCTAGATTACATAGATTTCTGGATGTCTAGATTACATTTCTGGATTTAACAGAGCCCAAAATCGATACTTTTATCAACTCATGTATATTTATTTTTGGTAAAACTAAATGTTCTACATGTCATGATGCAGCTTACTACATTTGTGGAACTTAATGGTGAGCGGATGACCCCCTCAAAAACTTATGAAGACCATTTCATTATTATCACTTTAGATAAGTAACAGCCACGTGCATTGACGCAAACCAAAGAACGAGGAGTTTTTTTTTCATCTTTCTTGTTATTAGCAGCTCTTAGGAAACATAAAGTTTACACTACCTGGTCAACAGCATTCACTTTGGCTCCACATTGAAGTAGAGTTTTCACTGTATCTACATACCCGTTAGCAGCTGCTAGATGGAGCGCTGTACGTCCCTCCTGTAAAAGAAAAACAATTTATAAAGTAACAATATTAAATATCGTACTGGTTGTTCGTAAAGTTCGTAAGACAAATAAAAAACTATAAAGTAACAATGGTCAGATATTTAAAAATATGCGTCACTTATAGTGTAAGATATGTATTGAATGTAACGAATTTGTTATATATTCATTTTAATGACAACGTTTGTTTAGATTGAGTTTATATGTAAAAACGTGCCTAGCTTACCGTGTTAGTTACGTACTGCGAAACTCCGGCCAATTCCCTAAGGTTGTAGAATATTCGTGAACGTAAGAATCAACAATATAACCACTTCCGTAACTGGTTAAATATAACTCAGAACTCTTCTCGGAATTTTCGAGAAAAACCTTTCCCGTGCCTATAAAAGCAGTCAAGGCGACGCGCCAAATGAGAGAGAGCTTAAAAAGTTGGCTAGGAGCCTGCTACAACTGTGTATGCTATAAATCGTGATTTTTGCTAACCTTATCAACCAGAAAATTTACGACATTTGACAAGGAACAGTTATAAATTTCGAACGTCAGAAGATTCTCATCGGACGTTAGTATCTTTCCGAAAGTATTACTGACTTCTCATCAGACATCACTGGTTTTATGAAAATATTATCTTACTTCAACGGTCCAACAATTCAGTGTCTGACAAAGCTAGCTAGCTTCTCGGCAATTATACATACATCGACTTCAAGTTAACTCGCTGAATATCAAGGAGACTCTAAACTAGGAAGAAGATTTTATGTTGTTTGTAAGTTAGTGAAATTTTTGTTTCATAAAACTTTGCTTGTGGTAACTACTCGTAATAATTGTTGTTGTAAATTGTACTGTTGTATATATATATATATTAAAACGTATTTGTATGAAAAACGAAGACGGTGTGTGTGTGTGTGTGTGTGTCAATTCTTTTTGGCAAATAGCGTAAATTAACTAAAACATCGGCTTCGGACTATTTTAAATTCTCAATACCTAACACTGGGCACTAGTGTAAATTACAAGTGATTTTATCT